TTGAATAAATCTGACTGGATGATCTGGTTGAACTGTAAAGTGCCTTGAGATGACATGTGCTGTGAATTGGCGCTATATAGATACTGTACTGGTTTGTATAGCCTTAATCGTGTGTTGGTAACAGATTCTAGTTGGGCCCTAAATGTCACTCGAGCACCGCCATAGGGATTTAGAAAAAGGTGGAACAAGATTTGATCTGTTCATGGACCTGCTTCTCCATCGGTAATGTCACCAAAAGCCCACAGGTTACCATGGGGATAAACATGGAAGCTCCACATCACAAAATAACCTCTATTGTGCCTGTAGCCTTTTGGCCAATGACCTAAGACCTTCATAAAAGCACCACTTATGCAAAACACCGGGATATGAAACAGGATATTGAAAGTGAAAGAGGACACATATCTTGGTTTCACATCTAATAACCCGATTCATCTAACACAGGCTGTCAGACAAAAGGAGGAAATGACTCGGCATTATTGCCCAAGACACCCTGCTCAGAAACAAAATCTTTTTTTACTCTAAATATTCATGATGAGGAAGAAAACTGGGCTCAGATGGAAGTATTTAATTCCACAGGTTTAGATGCAACAGAATACAGATTCACTAAACCATTACAATCATTTTGCTAGAGTTCAACTGAGGGGATAAATAACAGCCTTATAGCCTGTGGATAAGGGTCATAGCTGATCAGAACACTTAAAGTAGACAGTTTGACTGCCTCACGCTATAAAACTGCTAGTTGCTTCCACAGGAGAGGAGTGTGATAACTAATAGCTTTAACAGGAAGCCAGTGAAGAGAAGCTAGGATAGCAGAAAATCTTGACTCCTATAGTAGCAGCCGATGGACCTTCCCAGTCAACCGCTAGCCAAATAGCAGCCAACTTCCAGTCACTGGAGTTTTCCCCCTCCTTCTCCTGGGCGTGCATATACTGCATTTTTACTGACTCCACCCTTTCACTGAATTACAGGGTCTGACCAGCAGGTGACGCTTCTCTTTACATCTTAATGTCCACAAATCCAGACAGAAATAAAATTTTAGTACAAAGATTTATGTTTAAAAAGGAATTGTAGGGGACCAGCCAGGGACCCATCATGGAAATTGGGGGTATTTTGAATGGCTACTACTGTAAATGAATTAGAAAGATTAAAAAGACCTCAACCACTCCCCATTACAAAAACTATCCACTGGACTTTGTTTCCAAGTTTGAAGACGTTTCTCTTCCCATCCAGGAAGCTTTTTCAATTTAAAATGTCAGAAATAGTGTTGAGTTCAAGCCTTTATAGAGTGGACCAAAAAGAGCTTTTGTTTATGCCACTCTATAAGCCTGGAACTGAAACGCTAATCCAGACATTTTAACTTGAGAAAGCTTCGCGGATGGTAAACAAAAAGTCTTCAAGCTTAGAAAAAATGTCCAGTGGAATGACTATAACCTGGATGACTGGGAATCTTCAACAGCATTTAGTTTCATTTAGGTTTAAACAGTAGATTTGTGTAAAAAGCTAAATCAAGAATCTTTCCTTTATTTCTGCTTGTTTTAGTCATCATATCTGCTGTTGTTTTTTAAACTCTCTCTTATTGTGCATTCGCACCAAATGTGAAATCTACTAACTTTTTCCTCAATCTTCTCTGCTTTTCCTCACCTCAAAGTTCACCAGTCAGCTGAAACAGGTGAACTCAGACAGCGAGGGGAATGCTCCAACACTTCATCAACTGCGGTTGGTTTTATCTCAACATGGAGGACTGACAAGCAGAGCAAAGCCGGCGGCATCAATGTCCCTGGGTTCACCAGAATCCCAGAGAAAGAAACAGTACAATGGCACTGCCTCTTCCTGCAGCTCCGTCAGGATAAAGGTTGCTTCCCCGGCCAGACAACCGGCTGCCCATCCATGACCCGGCTGCCTTACCATGACCCGGCTGCCCATCCATGACCCGGCTGCCCATCCATGACCCGGCTGCCCAATCATGACCCAGCTGCAGCGTTGTGCATCATTGGGGACAAATCAACTTGACAATGATGTTTAGTGAGGCGTCCTTAAGGAGCACAGACAGGAGCAGCAGGAAGTCAGTGTGAAAACATCGGCAGAGCATGCCCTAGAACCTGGACGAGGAGGCCAACAGCGCCCCCCTAAGGAACACAGTGGCTCAACAGAGTAGCAAATTGGGAATGAAGAGTGCTGAAGGTGGGGGAGATTCTGCAGCTGGCTGGAGGTAGCCTCTACAGACT